GAAGCTGTCCCTTTTTCAGTTGTTAAATTTAAGAGGCGACAGATATGGGGTAACTCATAATTTGCATATCTAAATTCTCTTTTTTCTTAAATACCAGCAACTCCAATCTTCAAACCTACCATTACTGGTGCATTGTTGACACCAACAGATTAACCAATTATCCAAAGGAATTGCATTTTCTTTTAAAGTTTTAATAATTAGCTGTGCTATATTAAAGCCTGTCGAATCTTCTTCTAAAGTGGGGACAAAAAGTAAACTATGCTCAATTTCTGAAAACTCTGGATTAACAAATAATAACTACTTGTTATTATTTGTTGACCTAAGTCAATTCCTAACTTAGGTCAACAAAGAAAAATTTTATTTTAGTTACTTTTTATTAACATATAATGTAATAAATAATAATAATTACTTATTAATTAAGCTTAATAATGTAATAAATAGAGTGTAATAAATTACTCATTGGAACTAGAGCAACAAATAATTTGTTAAACGAATACGGCTTTGTTTGTTAATGACTCGTTGGAACAAAGGCGACCAACAAAGAAAAATTTTACATACTTTACTACGATACTTTCCAATAATAATGTAATAAAAATTAATAAGTAAAAATATTAAATAAGTAAAGCAGTAAAAAGTCACAAAGTAAAATTGTAATTAATCTGTCGTCGGAGGCGATCCATTGGCGAGATTCGTTGGCGTAAAATTAAACATTAAAAACAGCATGTCTATAGTTCTGATAAATAAGTAGGAATTGACTTTAATATGTGGAAAAAACTACATTAATATTAAGTGTCATCCACTACAAGTTTACAAAAAAAGTATAATAAGAAGTATTTTATTAACGAATCAAAATTTGAACAAGGTATAGGGAGAGTGTGGAGCTAATAGTAGGAATTTAAAAAAAGAAACAACTGGAGAGTTTTGCATCAGTATTATTGTTTTCATCTGTACAGAGGCAGAATCAAGCTGTTAAACCCCTGAGAGGCCATGGTTTTCGTTAAGCACAAAGCTTCATTAAGAAAGCACAAATTTCCCAAAACTACTATGAGAATAAATTATAATTTGATTTTAATGTAAAAACTCTCCTGGTATTTCATACCTGGATTTGTGTACTTCTGATATATTGCCTTAATTTCTTTGACATATTTTAATATGCATGTATATATACGTTCGTACAGATATCACAAAAAATATTCTAGGTCGTATATATATATGGCCTTGCCAGAGGGTTATTACAATAAATAACTGGAGGTTTATTTTTCATACCCAATTCATTATCAAATGCAGCTGGTTTTATTCTTGTACTTGAATATTTCTTAGCAATTTCGCTATCGGGAAACATTTTTCTAAATGAAGCTGCAGCACGATCCAATGCAGTCAATGGCAGGTTGTGCTCCAATAAAAAGGCAGAGAATAGGCATTTTGCATCAATAACTTTTTGGTCTTTTGCTTTCACAGAATTTAATTCTCTGTTTTTTCAATGCAACTGACATAGCTCTTTTTGTAAATGTACATGTTAAAGAACATTTTTGATTTCCACCATGCAAAATCAAAAAATCACAGTGACAAATGTTGAACATCGCAAATGTATATCAATTCTTTGACAAAATAACATGTATGTAGCATTTTTGAAAAGCACATGAATATTTCACTTTTTTCTTTTTTTTTTTTTTTTTTTTTTTTTTTTTTGCAGAATCACAGTTACTTAAAAGCATGTGAAACACCGCGTTTAGTGGTGAGACAAACGATATAACAACCTCGATCTTGCTTTTGTGCTCGTCGGCTACCATCTGCCAGATGGCACGCAGCAGCATTTGATGCTTTTTTGAGAACTGGAGCACGACGTTTTCAAAAACATATGTACTCACACACAAAACAGAAGCGTGCCTTAATATTACAAAGATAACACGACTTTTCTTTTATATTTAATCCAGAGAAAAACCATGCACTTTCAGACACCAAAAATTCCTTTTCTGGGTGCAAATAATGAACTATTAAGCCAAGTTATATGATAATTGTGAGAAATTTTAATAAGAGAAAATCAGAGAAATATGTTGTAAATCAAGTTGGCAGGAGTACAGTTGGAAATAGGGAATCTCCCACCTAAATCAGGAGAGCTGGCAACTCTGCAACAGGATTTGAACACATTTCTGTGCATGCAAATTAAGTACTTTTAAGAACCATTAAGGAACAAAATATCAATGACCTATCAGTAAGTGGGAACTGCATAAATTAAAGATATTATCTACGTCTTAATTTCCTTTTTGTAATACCATCGTAAGATGTGTAAATAAAATGCCTTCTTATTAGACATAATTATAAAACAAATTTCAGAATAAAATCAACTTTGTAAAATTTATCTAGTAGCATAAAATATTTTACACTTATAATAGTTATTATTTAGGACATATTTTAAAGAAGATTACTGACATTTTATTTACATTTCACCTGATAGTTACCTTTACGATGATTTTTTTGTTTATGCCTTGTTCCATAACATGGTTGCTCAGTTCAGAGGTTTAATAAATATCATGCAGATTTTATATCAAATGGTATCAGTTAAAATGAAAAGTAAAATCACAATCAGCATGAATTGTATGATTGTTTCTGCTTGCCTAGAGAAATCTGCTGATCAGAGCAGAACTGAATGCCTGACGTTGACATGGTTGGTAAGTGTTGAAAGCTAGTTATGCTCCGTCAGTCTGTTGCAGTTAGTGTCATAGCTTTGTGTAGAGTTCTTGGAGCTGAGACTCAGTTAATATACTTTAAGGCTCCAATAAGTTGCTAAAGCATTAAATGTAATAAGTTGTTTTGTATTATTTTAAGTCTCACTAGCTGTAAGAATTAAGTTTTACATTATTTTTACACTTTTGTGTTGCATCTTGTTACCACAGTAAGGATTAATGACAGTCAATAACTGGCTTTAACACGTAGAAATAACTTTTAAGGTGAGTAATTAGTTACAAATAATTAAATTAGGTAGTTAGATAACCTTAGTCATTATAGGTATACACAACCACTATTAAAATTTAAAAAAATAAAAATATTTATTAAAAAAAGCACTATTAAAATCAAAATAGAATATTTCAGTTTAAAAACCACGTAATTTATGAAAATGATTCTTAAACGATATTAAAATAACTATTATTGATTATAAAGGATGAAACAGAGAAATATGAGACACTGCTCCATATAAGAGAACTGTAACAAAAGTAGTGCACCTGGAACCGGTGTCTAGCCTAATAATGAAAGATTTTCTTCTACTCTTTAACAGATTTATTTCAAGAAGTGGAATATAGCAAGTGATATAGTCAGACAATGCAAAAACTTTCTAAAGGGCAGATAAGGAAACGAAATTAATGCATTTCTAAATTCACAACCTTTGATTTATGTTTATAGTGACGTCGGAGAACCAGAACTGCTAGCAATAAGTCATTTTACAGTTGGATGAAGATTGACAACTTTGCCATCTAGCAAATCTTGAACCAGATTTAACTAAAGAAAATTTAATAAAGCAACATAAATATTGACTAAGATTATTAGAATGTTTTTGAAAAAGATGGAAAAGGGATATTTATTTACTTGAAATTAGAAATGTAAAGCAAGTTCAGAAAGGTAATGCTCCTACAGATATTTTGAAGGGATCTGTAGTTCTAGTGTATGAATTGAAACTATCAAGATAATTATGGAAGATAGCAGCTGTACAGGAGTGTCATCCAGGATGAGATGGAAAGATAACAGCTTACATCATGCGTTTAACTAAAAACAAAAATATACAGTACAAAGTCCTAATCCTGATGTCCATTATCCGGAATGATCTACTATAATCCAAACCTCAAAGCCACAAACTTACGCATGCACATAATGCATTTACGCATGCTCGTAAAGCGTTTACGCATGCGTGTTTGATGCACGTGTCCACTATGCATGTGCGTAAAGCCAGTAAAGCGTTTACCCATGCGCGCTTCAGATAGTGAAGAAAGTAACAGAGAACGTTATTGAAAACGAATAAAATTTCGATTGACAAGTTAGTCGGTATTCTCGACACAGCAATTACAGGACTTGAAGAGTGGAACTTTGTAACTGAACAAGAAATTATGTCTGTTTAATAGAATTAAAGAGAAAGTATTATCACATGAAACGAAGCAACTTACATTGAAGGAAATGTTTAATAAAGTAAACAAATAAATATTAAGCTTTTTCTTTTTGTAAATTTTGATACCCTTTAGATCATAAATTGTTCTTTATTTCATAAATTACTGTTTCATGTTTTTAATTGTATAATTTCTGCATGCCATCTTACCATCTAAATTGATGATCTATAATCCGGAATCACCGAAGTCCCAACGAATCCGGATTACGGACTTTGTACTGTATAAAGATTTTTCGGAAAAGGTTTTTTATTATGGATGTTTCTTGATTTTAAAATTTTTTTAACTGATTGCATTTTTATGGAATTCATGGGTGCCAAAATTTTAAAAATGGCTGTTTGTTACCTTTTACATATTAGCTTAGTAAATAGTTTGTTGCCAACAGGTTTGTGACATTTTGGAAGGAGGGGTCTGTATAATCAGAATGTACCAATATATCTAAAGAATGAAATATACTTTTTTCTCCTCCTTCTTCTTTCAGATATTGCAACGAAACATTTATTTTCAAGAGATCAACATCTTTTTTTAAATAAAGTAATTTAAACTTTCCTGTTGAAACAAATGACTACTTTTTGAAAACCGCTTTTTATTTGTTAAAAAAAATGTACATGAAATGCATACATTCTAGATATGAGTATATTTGTTTTCAAACATAAATTACCTTTCTGTTTACATTAGATATGCATAGAATTTAGGAAGGGAAAAAACCTGATAAGAGAAACAAAAGACATTGCATATAAAACACAACCAGATATAAAGGAATTCTGTAACTAAAAAAGGTCATGCCAATAGAGAACACAAACATAATAAAAGTTCAAACATTTTGCACACAGAACATAATTTACTCACCTGTATCTTTATCTTTAGCCTTATATACTTGTCCATACGTGCCTTCACCTATCTGGCAAATAATGTTGAACACATCAACACACCTTTCACCCCAGCTGGGTGATCTATCACAGTTGTCATTGTCCTTATTAAGAATTCTAAAATATATAGATAGATAGATAGATATATGTGTGTGTGTGTGTCAGCATCCAAATTTTTTATGCAAAACTAAGATTAATAATAGAATAATTTTTTTTACATGTTATACTGATATTACATTACTTCTTCAGAAAGTTTTCTTATCTGCATATTTATAAATGCAGTTTGATAAAACAGAATATCTAGTCTAATTGATACCATAGCCAAACCAGTCAGAAGGCCCCTTTTTCAGTACAGAAAATGCATGTTTTCTGTAATGTAGATGAGAGTATTTCTTTGCCTTTCCCACCACCTAATTTTTATACTTCCCAATAACAAAAACAATTTTAAAATATAATATTCTTGGTTTGAAAATCCCTTTATACCTGAAACTTGGCAACTTTCGGAGTCTATTAATTTAACAGATGATGTAAAAATTGTTCTGATCATGAACAACTCTCTAGCTCACACTATAAGGTATTTCTCCCGCCTTCCTAGCGTCCCTCTGTGGTGTAGTGGTTCAGCACGCTGGCTCGGTATTCGTCCGGCCAGACGTCCATGGTTAGATTCCTGGCGAAGACGTTTGCTAACTTTTTCATCTCTCTGGTTTTTCCAATTAATCTAATGTCTCTACATTACTTCACTTAAAGTTATAAAATAAGATAATGTCTTCATCTTAATTTTTTCACCAAATTGTACATTTGTCATTCATTAAGCCATTCCTGTTCTGAGACAGGGGTTCTGAAAGAAACACCTGTAAAGCAATACGTTAACCAAGTCAGCCACAGTCTCCGGGCTATCAACTACTGTCAGACAGTATTCCAATGAAAGATGAATATGGCCACAAGTTATGCTAAAAATGCAGTTCTTGTGACTTTTTTTAGTCAGATACCTTAAGAGATAAAATAACATGAAGAATTAGGCTTAAAAAATCAGATTTTAAGGGACACTTAAGATTCTAAACTCCTGTTTCATAGGCTGAATTAAATAAATAATAAGGGAAAAAAAATGGGTCAAACTATAGTCAGGTGTCATTCAATTGTATCTGAATGGCCACAAAACGGAAAATTTTGTCCACACATTTTGTCTCTTCAAACTTAACTTACAAGTTTAGAAAATTCCAGCATTCATTCTTTACCATGCATTTTAAAGTAGTATCTACCATGCCTCAATTTTTGCGAGATCAAATCAGGCCACTTGTGTTACCATTTGATACTGTGCTGCCCTAGTCAAACTCTTCACCTTACACTGCCCTCAGAGCAAATTGAGTGACTTGCTGGGTCACCGCACTTAATGCTAGAAACATGGTCTCTTTGAATCATTTTCTGTTTCATCAAGTCAATAATGGCAAGATGAAAAAGTGGTATTCCTTTGATGGCTATGGTGCAATTCCCACATACACTGCATCCTCAGCTAAAATTATGAAGTTTTACTTCTCTTTCTGCTCTAAAAAACGGTCTGCTGCAAGTCTTGAAATATGAAAAACCAGGAGATTTTTGCACTTAAAGCCAGGAGTGTCTGGGAAAGTATCCTACATGCTGCCCAGCAGCACTATTTGAAAAAAATCCAAATTAATTTAAATTTTCTTTATAAAGCATTATTCAAATCACTGAAATATTTATAACATGATTCTGATGTTAACTATATTAATATTTCATTAGATATTCTAAATCTTATGCTCTTTTACCGGGTTTTTTTTTTTTAATATTTCTCAGATGGAAGAAAAGCTTTTATTTTATTTTTATTACATATTTTTAAATATAATAGAAATAAAATTAATAATTAATCTACATATAACTACATAGATAAATTTACTAATGTAGAATACACTAATATTAACAAATGCAAATACTGATTGAATACTGCCTGAAACTTCGTCCAACAAATGCTTAAGACAATTCATATGAAAAAAATTATGCTAAAAATCAGTGAAGGTGGGGAAATGAAACAAATCTGCATAATTTAAATTTCATTTATTCTTGGGAAACATTTTACTCAAAGCTTAAAAATAAATAAATAAATAAAAAAATAAAAAAATTTTTTTTTTTTTTTTTTTTTTTTTTTTTTTTTTTTTTAATGGGTGATTTAGTGATCTACTGGCAAACTGGAAAATGTGATGAAGAACCATGATTCCATTAGTAAAACCAGAAGATTTAGCAGTTAGAAAATGGTCACAAAGAGGTATACTACGTGTTTGCTATTCATTTACTGATGTTTAGAAAGTTGTTTTAGGCATCACGTAAGCCAATCTTAAGCTCACGCAAGTTAGTAATCATGTTGAGATAAGAAGCAAAAATTGTTTGCTAAAAGCAAAATATAAATTAAACAGTAGGATGCTGAAAGCAAGATGGATGTTTATTGTCCACTGTTGTTTTAGGGTTTAGACCAAGGACTAAATATTACAGAGTGCCTAGAATTTAGTACTTTTTACCTTAAAATATAATAACATAAAAACAAAATTAGAGAAGAGAATTGGGAAAATTTTATGACAGCTGTTAAGGAAAATACTTAAAAAGGAAGTCGTCATAACCTGAGAAAGTTTGAAGACAAAAAGTAAACTTTTCTGAATATTAAAAGCTTAAAAAAATTGGCAATGATCAATGAGTATTGATCCCCGGACCTTTCAGTCTCGAGGCAAATGTGCTAACCAAGTATTTTTTGTTTTAATTTTTAGTTTTTATAATTTTTTAACATAAATACAACAAAAAAGATAAAAGCATATAGGAAAGTTTAAGATTAATAGGTTTCTAGGTCACACTGTTATTATTTTTCAATTTAGCAATGTAAAGTGAATGCAATGGAAATATCCTAAGGTAGAATTTAACCTGCAAGAAATGATGTGATAACAAAAATGAACAGATTCATAGCTATACAAGTTGATCTTAATTGACACTGTAGGCAGGTAAAGAAACTGAGATGTTGATGGAAGGTAGTAATAAAAGCACTTTTTTATGGTGTAGGAAAACAGCTCCAGCTGCAGCAACCATCACAGACAGTGTCGTAGTGTTTTCTTTTAGCTAGTAGGAAGATCCTGTTCTCCTATCCAATTGCACAGCAAGGTCTTATGCAGAATTTGGTACTCAACAAGTCGTACGCAGGAACAGTTTGAAGTGCATGATTATCAATCTGTTCTATTTCAGAAAATTAGTTTTGACTAAGACTTAATTAAGTTAAGGGCTTGATGCTTAAGTCCGAATATCACATTATGAATACCAAGTGCATTAAGGGCTAAACTTGGAGTTTCATTATGTGTATCTTTGCACCAGTACTCCAGATTGTACATGCACACATGAAAACAGGCCTTATAACTGAGATATACAGAAAAGCTTTGTTTTTAATTGACAGATGGTCTTTCAAGCTAATAAAAGATATAGCTGGGATCTGACTATCTTTACTTTTTTAAGCACATTCTCATTATAAAGAAGACAGATTAATTTTGAAGCCAAGAATTACATCAGGAATTATAATTGGTGAAAAAATTTGCAGTTTATGACAAACTCTGCCTAACAGTTATGGCTGAATTAACCATTTAAAAGATAAATAAAGTATTTGCACTATTTTTTATCGTGGAATGCCTTATTGATGCCAAAATGATTATATCCTATGAAATTTATGGACCCTCTGCTATCACTTCACCATTGCTTAAACCACTCATGCAAAACAGCATTTAAGCCTGCATTTGTCTGCAGTTTTAAATTTCAATATTTGTATCAATTGTATTATTAATTAATTATCAGAGCTGTCAACAACTAACTTCAAAAGGATGGCACTAATAAATCTAACCTGAAGTTAATTTATACTGCGCAATTTCAAGTTACTATTAATATATATAATTGAGGCATGAAGTTATAGACAAGATATTTCGCATTTTTTAAGAAATTTGTCATCAAAATTTCCTTAACAGCATTTCCTCTTCCCACATTTAGCAAACAATTGAGTTTTAAGTGATGATATTCAAATAAATTCAAAACTAGGAGCTTTATAGATTTATTGGAAACCCAAGAGATTAGAAGAAAAGCTAGAAATCTCACAATTTTACCAAAAGGGTTGGCAGCTCTGAATTTATAATTACTAATAAATCTCCTCCTTTTAGCTTATGTCACAAATATTTATCAGCAAAACATCATAAGCTTCTGCTATAAAACTAGAAATTCTACAGATCTTCAATACTTTTAAAATGTTGTCCAACCTTTTACATTAATGTAAGCCATTATTATTTTTCACTAATATTTGCAAGAGAATTGTGAGCTTGTTTTCAGCATTCCTGTATGATATATAAGCTCAGCATTCCTATATGTTGAAAATTATTTTTATCTCTGGCAAAATTAAAGTAACAATTTCGAAATACCAGTCTAGTCCCATTAAAAAAAAAAACTATTTTAAAGCAGTCAAGTAATATACTATATTAACTCATTCAGCTTCTTCCCTTCAATACACATCCCCCCCCCCCGTTTCTTCACAAGCAAAGGAAAATATTATCTATGAAGAGCATTGCCCTTTGCCATGATTTGCTAAATATTTTAGCTTTTACTTCAAAAGTACTTTTTTGCAACTTTATAAACAGGAATTTTACAATTAATAACTGCGAAGTTCATGACTTTCAGGCACTGATGGAATTTTACGTCTTCTACTATTTTCACGCATATTTTCAATACACAAAATCTCATACAAAATGTCTGAGTTTCTAGATGCCAACCAATGCCAAAGTTAATACAATTGTTAATTCTAGTTAATACAATATGCTAATTTCTTTCACAAATACAAAGGAAATTTATCTACATAAATAGCTAGAATACACTATAGTACAAGTAAAACCAGTAAAGAAAAAATATAGTTGCACAAATACTTACTTTAAGTGGCGTTTATGTCGAGGAATACATTCTGGATGTTCAATGGATCCTTTAAATATACTATTAAAAAATGATTATTTAGAATAAAGATAGATCACATTAACACAAGCATATATAAGAATTCATCATTAAAATCACACAAGGACTTCAGCAAAATTACATATTAACCCTCTGAGCAGCACAGATTTATGAAAACCTGCATTTAAAAAGCATTTATTAACCAAATTTCTGTAATTACTTATTTAGTCTCTATTTTCAATAGCTTACATTCATTGAGATTATATTTAAATAATTAAAAAATAACAGAAAAATAAATTATAAGCTAATATATATACCAAGTGGCAAAAAATCTCATGGTCAGATAAATCATCTTTGATCATGCTGCTCAGAGAGTTAATAACATTAAATAATTTTGATATTTGTCATACATTTTAATACAAATGACACTTCTTAAAGAGCATTAAATAAACAGTACTTTAAATGTGTTCATTTAAAAAGCCTTAAGGAAACTCATTCTATTAAATATTAAAGTACCTAATATCCTAACCTAATAACCTCTCAACGTTTCATTAAATACAAAGTGATAAATGTTCAATTTACAGCAGCACAAATATGCAGAAAAATGAAATGGAAGGCCTTAAAATTGCTTTTATACAATTATATTAATTAATAAGAATCCAATTTTAAAAAATACTATGTTTTATATGCTGGACATGGCAGCCAACATTACTGAGCACTGCCTAAGACCTGCAGATTTAAAAAAAAAAAAAAAAAAAAAAAAAAAAAAAAATTTCCTAAGAATCACTAATACATGCTATCACTCACATAGCACCTTTTTGTATGAGCTAGACGTATGATCTTGGATGGCTGTAACTTCCATTATCAAAATTCACCAGATTTCAAATTAGGACAATCGTATGATCACCTCATACAGAAAGAGACAGCTGACTACCATATGTTAACCAAATACTCAAAGTAAGACAGAAGCAATAAGAAATAAATGATGCTCCATTCTAAATAATTGGGCCATTAATCCAATATCTGTAAAAAAATTCTCTCCAAGCATCATTCCAATATCTCTAAACGTAACTGCATATATTATAATATATACAGGGTGCATCTGAAATGCTTCAACAAACTTAGAGGGATATAGTGCTTATTAAGACAAACGAAAAATGCAATGGAACATGAGGTCGCAAATAGCGTTTAACGGGTAAAAAATCGAAAAACTAATAAAAACATCGAAATCTTGCATGGTGCTTTTCTGCAGAACTGGTTAGTAGTATGAAGCTAGTTTTCTTTTCACTTTGTGCCTATCCGGTGAAAAAAAAGATAACAAAAATTGGCTGAAAGCCAAACAAATCTGTGAGCAGGAATCCATGTATGCAAATTTTCCATATTCTTAGAAACAGACCAATAAACACAACTTTGTAGCAAGCATGTGTTGTAAGTGCATAAACCACCAACGACGATAGTTAGTATCATTGCAACATGTGTAACCACCTTGATGGAGTTTATCCGACAAGATGGATTGATTGGACATGGTGGCCTTGTTGCTTGGCCTTCAAGCTCACCAGACCTGAACCCTTTGGATTTCTTCTTCTGGGGGCAGATGAAATCCCTCATTTATGAGACTCCAATAGAAATGCCAAAAGTAGTAGTACAGCATATTGTGACCGCTGCAGCAGAAACCCAGGAAACTCCTGTAATCTTCGAGCGTGTCTGCCAATCATTCCTCCATCGATGTACTATGTGTCATAAAGCCTGCGGTCGACACTTTGAACAATTGTTGTAAAATTTTTGTTTTCTTTGGACATCAGGAGCTGTGTTGTACCTATTCTGTGCAATAAATAATTTTCTGGGGTGTTTCTTTCTTGTCTCAGTTTGTCAATCTCCAGACGCATTTTCTCAATTTTCACACTTTAAACGTCATTTGTGACCCTATGTTCCATTGCATTTTTTGTTCGTCTTACTGTCGTCCCTCTAAATTTGCTGAAGTATTTCAGGTACACTCTGTATATATACAGGTATATATCAAGGTACAGTTTAAATTCATTTTTAATCTTGAGTGCCGTAAACAGCATTGCCCTGGAAGGAAATCCACAAACTAAAACGATGCCATGTTAAAAATGCACCACACTTTAATTCATTGCTATGTAATCTAGAAGTGTCTAGATTACATAGCAATGAATTAAAGAAGTGCAGTCTTACTTGTGAATATGTCCTCTTCAAGTTTTCTAATGATTAAAATGTAAGATTAACAAATTTTTAAGATTAAGATTTAAGAAATGTAAGATTAACAAATTTTTAAATTACTGTCTTGCTGTACAAAGGAACTCCATTTCTTGCCCACTCATATCAACTAATTTATGGACATATGCTTTGCTTGTTTTTGTTAACAGTTGATTTCTTTAAATGAACCTTCTTACGACAATGAAAATGTACTTTTAAAAATAGAAATTTTGCTTATAATCTACAATATTCACATTATAGCCAAGAAAGATTTTTTAAACCGTTTAGAAATACAGGCCAGTGTCAAGTTGAACTCTGCCAGGATGGCAACAGTTATGCTTATTGTCTATGTTCACTAGCATATGAAAAACTGCCAGTATGTTCACATTTGAAAGGTAAATTACAAAAAACTTAAAGAAGGCAAACTTTACTTCTTTGCTTGTCAAGGTACCTAGACTCACTGAATTTGCAAATTCTAATTTGTTATTATATAGTCTCTTAACACTCTATGTTAAAAAATATCCGATATAATCACCATAAAATAATGCACCCGTTTTATAAACTTCTTCATAAACTGTGTAATAATAAAATATAACTTTAATAAGCTACAATCTGATAGGGTAATTTACATAAAAAATAATTAAGAAATTTAATAAATTATTAAACAATATTCTGCTCTGCTTGTTCAAGAAAAAATAGCATTTCTTTAAACATTAAAAGCAATAACAGAACTGAAATCACCTACACTTGCTTATGAGATGTCTGGAAAGTGGCTGCTGGTTCAGAACTTTCCAAATCATTTGGAGACTTGTCAGGGTCTATTTCTGGAGACAAGATATCTTCTTCTTTAATACCTGGTGGCAGTGGAAGATCTTTAATGCCTTTTTTGGGAGGTGTACTCTGTTTTTTCTCCAAAACTGGTGAAGGTGGTGGTGAAAGAGCAATATCTTCCTCATCATCCAAGTTTTCATCTTCTGGTCCAACAGGTGGTAGAGGCAAAGGTGGCAGAGTTGGTAACGGAGGAGGAAGAGGCTTTCCTTCTGATTTAGAAGGAACAGGCTGCTTTTCCTCTTCAGATATTGCCATAGGAGACCTGGAAGCTTTTGGAGTTTCCTTAGTTTCAATATTTATTTCTTGGTTTACAGGAAGAACTGTAGAATCTGAAGTCTGACTATTGGATAAGACACTAGTTTCTTCTAACAATTGTTGATAATCATCTGGAAGTGAATCAGGTTCAGTTGGAGGAACAGGTTCTTGAGAATTGAATGCAGTAGACGATAATGAATTGTCAGATAATTCTGCAACAGTGCTGGGAGCACAAGCAGTTCCATTTTCTGGATTTATGTCTGTTTCTTTAACATCAGTTTCTTTTCTAATAATCAGAGCTTCACGATGTTTTAATTTTTTAGCTCGTCTATCTTTGCAAAGTTCTGAAATTATCCTTGATGCAAATTTTGATAAACTAGGACTTCTTTTTCTCCTCTTCAAGTGTTTTCTGTGAGGAGAACTTGAACGTGACCTAGATTTAGTACTAGTCCTAGAAATTGACCGCTGATTACGATTCTTCCACCTTGCTGGGCTGCGGCTAAAACTGCGGCTAGGTGAACGTAATCTCCTATTTCGCCTAGGAAGAATTAAAACATGAAATAAATAAATAAATGCAGAGGAAATAAAATAGTAATGTAAATTAAAGCTACAATTCAAAGAAAAGAAATAATTTTGATATTAAATGTAGCATAGCAAAAGTTTAAAAATTTTTAGCTTAAGATGCTTATATTTACAGTTAATATAAAAAATTATTATTATATTTAGTTTATATACAAGACAAAAGTTATAATAATTTCCATGATCTATATGTATCTGAATTTATAATTGTTGACATACATCTGACACTTGGATTGCTTACTTTTTACAAATCAAAAATGCATATATAACAAAATAAAACACAACAGCTAAAAAAACTGAATTCAGCCAAAATCTTTTCCAATGTTAGTACTATGCTCTTTTTCCACTTTTGTGAGTGCTTCAGCATATTTCAATGGTCATATTCACTATGCAAAAAATGCAGGATGAAACATAATTTTACAACTCAGAACTTACTAAACAATATTTTTAATATTTCACAAGTAGGAAGTAAAATGTGCATATATCCAAATTATCAAGATCTTTTTCTAATAAACAGAATGAAAATACAAGTCTTAAAAAGTAAAATTAAAATAGATGCAGAGAGTAATGTCAATGTTCCCTTCTGAGAAGGGAGATCCCCTGTTATGCAGTAAAAGTTCAACTATTGAGAAAGCTCAAGCAATGCCAAATACCAGATACATTCAGGATAGTTGAGAATATAAAAAATGAAATTCACAGTGAAAAAGCGATATGAATGGAAAAAATTTCGAACATGGAATTATAAAAGCAGTCATTTTATTTTTTACCAAGTCGAATGTCAAAAGCTTACATTTAAAAATCATATGATTTCAGGTATGGGGGAAAAAATTTTTTTTTCAGTCATAAAAAGGTGACATATTTTGTAGGCCTTACACATGAAAGTTGGCAGTGATATTACCCAATCTTTGCTAATTATTCTGGCAGAATTTTAAAGGCATAGATAGTTTTCATTTAGTTAGATAATACACAGATACAAATTGCAGATACAGAACATAAAAATTTAAATCTATTGTCATTACTTTTCACTTTTTAACACCTTATTTTTAATTTTTTTTTCAAGTTACACATTGTGCTTTGCTTATGCCATGATACTGTAACTTTTTAATTAACCCTTTGCAAGCTGTCTAAGGCTGCTATCACACATCCGTTTGTTTCAAAAGAACAACTGTTTGGAACAATTTTTCTGCTTTGTCATAACAGCCAATCACTACAGCTCGCTTTGGGCTTAACACAGGGGAAACTGGTTCTCCATTACACGCAAGCTAACAGCATTCGGCGCTGATAGCTGATTGGTTGAAAACAAACAGCTTGCAACTTTTTTCGAAAGAAAGGAAAAAGTTGCACGTCTTTCTTTCAATAGTAAACCAGGCAGAAAAATTGTCCGAAACAGTTGTTCACGCGAAACAAACGCTGTGTGATATGGGCCTAATAGAAGACACTTTCCCAAATATTCTCCCTCCCAAAATGATTACGAAAACTACAGCAGTATATGAAGAATTAATCCACAATTACTTAAAACCAAGTTAAAATTCTTATGATTGTGTTATGAGGTCATGCACATCTATTAATTGCACTAAATCACATTGTTTAATGATAATGTATACATGCTAACATCATAATGAGCTCTATAATGGCATTACAAATTTGTTGATTAATTTTTTGGAGGACACATTTTTTTAAGCTATTCCAGTTTGAATGCTGGACTGTTGGGCTTTTACTTTTACAAAAGATCTAACTTTCATGGGTAATAAAAGAAATCCAAATAACACTTTCACTTTTACAAAATATGGGGAGGGGGATAAGTTCAGTCATCAAATATGTAATATTTCATGCCATTCAAAATGTACTTTAAAAACTAATCTTAACTGCAACAAGTAAGTATAGAACTTCTGTAGGTAACAACCTATTGGTTATAACTAATAGCAAAGGATAGAATGAATAGTATTTTGTCATCTCTCTTTCCTGCACTTTAATTTGTATTTCTCACTACTCAATCTGATGTAATTCAATACATAATTCAGCATTAACATTACTTTTAAGTACTGTTCTGTGAAGTACAGGTTCGCAATAGATTGAATGCACACTAAACAGATGATAGCTTGATAAAATTTATGTTATCCAAAGAAACACTTCACCAGTTCTGGAACTTCCTATAAAAATACTTGCACAGCACTTCACAATATCACAGAGGACAGTCACTAGTCACACTTCAAGCAACTAAGAACATTAAACATAATGCAATGCAAAGCACATCTAAAAGGTGAAGCTCTCATGGCTATCTCAATAGTTACTCTGAAAGCACTCTGAACTAACTACTACTCAAACTGATGCTTTCCTGTCTTACATAGTTTTCTCCTGGCCGATGAGAGATTTCTAGCAACTTCAACTTCTCAAAATTACTAGAAGGCTTATCAGGATCGGATACAGTTGCAGCTACATATAGCAGTTACTCAATTTCAGTACCCATTACAGTTATACAAAGACCAAGCCAAAATGTCATCAAGTTCTATGACTTTTGGCTATTTTTCACCAAATTTGGCTAGTCTATTTAACATTTGAGTAAATGGCTGTTTTTATAACAATGAATAAATAGCTATTTAACACTGAGTATTTAAGTCTCTTTAACTTGAGTAAATGGCGGTCTTGCCAATTTAGCAAAACAGTCATTAACTCACAGATGTTAAATAGATTTGCCCCTGTATTCCAAGAATTTTCCTTAAATTTTCAGGTTATATATATATATATATATATATATATATATATAACACTAGAATTTTACATATAATTTCATAAAATTATTTACATATGTAAAAAATTTATAACAGTATTAAAGCTTTTTGTAGTCACCTTAACTGCACACACTGATATATATTTCCAAGTTGACTTAATAAAAAAAGCCTGAGATATTTTTATCTCAAAACCTGTTTCAAACTTCTCCAGTCTTAATCTGAAAAATTTTCATTAGTCCCATACAGGATTTGGTGCTTCTATAGAAGTGGTCTTCAAAGTGGCGTGTAATGTACCTCAGGGGGGCGAATAGGCAAAGTGATACTTGAGGGTATGGTTAGGGTTCCCACCTCTCCCGGAATTTAGTCGTGGAAATTAAAATCTCCCAAATATTATTCTCCCGGAATATCAAGTTTCTCAAAAACGACGACACAATGTGCATGGACGAAATGGTTGAGAGCATCGACACGACCGCACACAGCAGCCAAAGAATGTCTATGTCAATACACATTCTTTGCAGCAGCGATCTACGGTGAGCTGTATTTCGTGCTGCTGTATTGCGCACACGCACCCTCATCTCCCTTCACCCTCACATTTTCAATCCATTCTTTCATTTAGTCTGCAATTAACTATCTATCTACAAACAAGTGCCTATTTTGAAATTATTTAAATGCTTTCATAATAATGTCTAGTGGAAAAAAAAAAAAAAGATTCTGATTCTGCAAGTGAACAAATGCCACAAAAAAGACAAGATATTCCATGTCATTTCAAGACAAGTGGTTAACTCAATCTGATTGGCTTATGAAGAGAGACAACTTTAACGAAGAATGTAAAGTATGTAGAAAAACGGTTAATATTAAGTACGAGGATGTTAGAGCTTTAACTGAACATTTCCAAAGCAAGAAACACCAGTTGTTAATATTGAATAGGGATTCAACACAATCAGTTTTGAACTTTTTTGCGAAGAAATCTTCAGAACAGGACAATATATCAGCAATTGAAATTACTTCAGTCTATGATGATAGGATTAAACACCATTACATTTTTAATAGCCAGGATTGCACAAATTGTTATAGCACTCTATTTCCAGATTTTTCTTTGGCAAAACCGATAAGCCGGTGCATTATATTATACAGTACCACAAGGTAGAACAAAATGTACAAGTATTTGCGAGAGTATACTTACTCCTGCGGCTCAAAAAATACTTTAACAAGATTAAGGAGCTGGAGATTTTTTCCGTTGCAACTGAAAAAAAAACTTTTCTTCTCCCGGAAACTTTTTTTCCTCTCCCGAATTTTGACAGTCAAGAGGTGCCAATGCTAGGAACGGCAAAATAAGCACATCACTTGTGACTGAGCTTACTATCTTATGAGTATCACATGAGTGACTGATTCGCTAGCATCTTAGATGATCAACATCATTAATGCAAGATTTTTATAAGAAACAAAGCACTCTCCTTATGAAGCAAGCCACCTGAATGCTATCTCTAATGAAACTGCTACCTCTATATGCATGTTCTTTAAAGCCGATGCATTATATTATACAGTACAAAGTCCGAAATCCGGACGTCCATTATCCGGAATGATCTAAAATCTGGACCTCAAAACCACCACCAACGTTTTCTCGTAGGTTTTATGCATTGCGCATTTGATTCCCCCCTCTGTGCATAATAAAACATCTGGAGAGTCCCGATTCTTAATTTCACTTCAAGACTGAATAAAATACCTTGTTATTGAAGAAACAATCATTTTAGCCTAAATTTCTACGATCAGTAATTTGGCTCCATTGCTGCATATCTGCTTGGCATACATCTCAAACCGAAACATTCCACACAGATACATCGTTGATCAGACACCAACCTGGCGAATCATTATTTATTATACTTTCCTTTCATCACCGCATGTTTATCAAAACATAACAATTTGAGTAATGACTCATGTAGTGATGCCTAAACAATTTTATGCTAGTAATTGAATAATAAAGGAGTGTGGTAACCTTTTATGTTGACATTAGGCTTACCGATGGTTACAGATTTAAGTTAAATGCGCTAAAAAATGTCGACGAGGAAAAACTTACCAAAAATTTCTTTGCATATACCAAAAATAGATTTTGTTAATGATGCTCATAGACCCAAAGATTACATTTAGGGCTATTTAAATTAAGAATAACTGATTTGTTATTCACATAAACCCAGAACCAGCGCCAGGGCTCGTATGGCCGCATTCGATTGCA